TGCAATAACATAGTACTGTCTTCAGGTTATCAGTTCCTTGCATTTATATAGCAGATCCTGATTTCCAGAGACCTTTCCTAACTTTATCTCATTTAAACCTGTATCATTCTATGAATTAGGTCAGGTATCCAGTTATTTGGGCTCCGGGGAGAAGTACTGATTTGTCCAAGACCATCTGTTGAAATACTTAGCTTGGATCATTCTTGCTACCTTTGATCTATTCACTCAGACAAAACAAGCATCAGTCCACCAGTGCCATTCTAGGAATCTATTTTGAATTAATATTCACATATGTACAGTGTTGTTCATTGCAGCAAAAAAATTAGTCACCTTCAGGGTATAAATCGTTCTACTATAAGGACACATGCACACGAATGTTCATTGCAGCAGTGTTTACAATAGCAAAGACCTGGAATCAACCCAAATGCCCATTGATGATAGACTGGATTGGGAAAATGTGGCACATATACACCATGGAATATTATGCAGCAATCAGAAATGATGAGTTTGTGTCATTTGTAGGGACATGGATGAATCTGGAGAACATCATTCTCAGCAAACTGACACAAGAACAGAAAATGAAACACCGCATATTCTCACTCATAGGCGGGTGATGAAAAATGAGAACACATGGACACAGAAAGGGGAGTACTAAACACTGGGGTCTATTGGGGGGAAAAGGGGAGGGCCAGTGGGAGGGGGAGGTGGGGAGGGATAGCCTGGGGAGAAATGCCAAATGTGGGTGAAGGGGAGAAAGGCAGCAAAACACACTGCCATGTGTGTACCTACGCAACTGTCTTGCATGTTCTGCACGTGTACCCCAAAACCTAAAATGCAATAAAAAAAAAAAGAAAAGTGGCTAATAATTTATAGTACATTCATTTCATGAAACACTGTGCCTATGTACTAACATAGATCTTCATGGAAAGATCTTCAATATATTTTTAAATGAAACAGAAAGTTGCAAAACAATGAATAAAACATAATCTCATTTATGTAAAAAAAGAAAAAGAAACAAACCCTACATATGGAAGAAATATACTGAAAAGGAGTGGAAGAATAAACTTTAAGTAGTGGCCAATGTTGGAAAGTAAAAAAGAGGGAAACTTGGAGGTCCTTTATATTTTACTCTGTGTAGTTATGTAGTGCCTGGAGTTTTACAAGGATGTACCCACGTAATAAAAAACAAACAGAACAAAATCCAAAGCATCCCCCAGGGGACCCACTGGTCTGGGATGAAATTTCTCTAGGTCTCTGTGTCATTAAAACCTTATGCATCTCTTATGGGTGGGTCTGAAACCATTCATTTTACAGGAAAGTTCTTATAAAATGCCCATGGATCCATCCCTTCTAAATATCTAGTACATGCATAAATATATGTGGGAAATGAGGTATAAAAAATTGTAAGTAAAGGTCTCTGTTCTCAAAGAGTATGTAATTGGAAAGGCGAATATATAAGTTAAATATTAATAAACTCTGTGGAGTTCTTAGTCCTGGAACTTTGCCAGCTTTAGTTCTGCTCTGTGTAAAATGTGGACTAGATGGTCTCTAAGCGGCCTTATGTTGGATATTTTGGAATTCTGTGATTATGTTGTAGGCTGTTCAAGATTTTTTTTTTAGAGTCATGAGGAAACATAGCTAGTATTAGACTCCAAACCACAGGGAAAAAGAGATGTCAGAAGTCAGCCAGGATGGAATTCAACATCACTTTGGGTTACTTGGAAAATATTTCTGTAACTATAGAAGACATACATTCTCTTTAAATATAAGACTAAGGAAGGTGGCTGGATAATTACATAGCTGTATAATCCTTTGCCTAAGAGCTGCAAGTACCAGTGGAGAAAGAAAAGGAACAGAAAGCTAATAGGTGAACTCTGGAAAGCATGCACACAACCAAGGCAAATGCTTTCTCTCCTGACGATGGGACTCTCAATCCTTAGCTAAACAGTCAAACAAACACTCAAGAGAAACTCAAAACCAGTTGCAAGGTAAAAGGCAGAGGAGGCTTTTTGCCCACTCAGCTGGGCTTAAAAGCCTTTGGAGAAGTGCTTCAGGACTTACAGATGAGACAAAGGCAGCAGAGGGAGATGTGTTGGGGAGACTTAAAAGCAAAGGCATAGAGTAAACAGGTTTCAACAAGACAGTCTTTATTGTTGAAAAGCCACTGAGCAAAATCCTGCTTTTTGCTTCCAAATTACTGTAGCAGGGAGCTTCAGGAAACGAACAAGACTAGCAAATGTGTGATTCTCCACACACATCACCTTCCCATCCCCTCCTTCTTTTAATCTGCAAGAAATATGTTAAAACACCAAAATAATGTACTCCTTCCCCATTATAAGGTAGCACAAACAAGAAGACCTAAATTTGGAAGATAGGATAGCAAAGGAGGTAAAAATTTAAAATCAGGCAAGTCTGGTGTGTTGCCTTGAGCATGTAACTTAACCTCTCTGAGCCTCAGTTTTCTCATCTGTAAAATGGAGGTAGTAATGGTACCTACTTTATGGGGTTGTCATAAGGATTAAATAGGATAATTCACTTTAAGTGTTTAGTACAAGGCCTGAGACATCGTAAATAAACATTCTGTAAACAGTAGATATTATTGTCATTATTATTATTAGGTTTATTTTCAAATCTGCTTTGGTGCAGAAGTACAAGATAATTTTGTTCTAGCAATTGTAGAGAGTAATTTTTGATTCCTTTACTCTGTGATTCGGGGACTCTACATATAGCTCCAAAGTCACCCTGGGAAGGACAAGCTCATGGAGGGCTTTTTCCTGCCCATTCACCTCATTTAGGTGCAGCCATCATTCAGGCTCTTGGTTAAGCTTCCAAGGACCCTTCGGATCAAGGTATGTTACCCCTTTTGCTTTCCCAATTGCTTACCACAGTTCTAATTAGGTGATTATATATGTAATTATTTGTCTATTTTATCAACTGCTTAATTTTTAAAAAGTTAAAAATGATTTTCTTCCAAATATGTAGTGAGTGCATGCCAAAATTGATCTAACTCAGGAAACTAGAAGCATAATTAGGCTGGTTCAAAGAGCATTTGTAAGCTGTGGAAGGTACGTTGAAGCAAGTTTGCTACATTATAGACAAAAATCCTACTCCTGGTTCCTGAAGTGTTCTATAGGCAATATTATTATAACCTTTCGGGTTGTCTTTTGTACTTCACTAGACAAAAGCCTACAAATTAACGTGTAACTTCGCAGAGGCTCTGTTTTAATCAATGATTAATAATCAAATAAAGGTACATTCTGCTAGATAATGAAATGCTGGAGTAGGGGCAGGGACTATTAAGTGAAGTTTTGGTATGATTTTGAAAAAAGACATGCAGTCCTCTTTAGGCCTTATTTCCAAGACTTGAATAATTTTTCGTACTAAATGTCTGTTTCCTTAGGTAGAATGTAAGCTCTATGATGCTGGGGTCCATGTGCTCTTGTAGTCCCAAGCCCTGCACAGTACCTGGCATGACTGTCTAAACCAGGGGTGTCCAATCTTATGGCTTCCCTGCCCCACATTGGTAGGAGAGTTATCTTGGGCCACACACAAAACACACGAACACTAACGACAAGCTAAAAAAAATAAAAAATACAGAAAAATCTCATAATATTTTAAGAAAGTTTATGAGTTTGTTTTGGGCTGCATTCAAAGCTGTCTTGGGCCGCAGGTTGAATAAGCTTGGAACTTGCTAAACCAAGCCCTCTGGGTTTGGGGTGGGGTCTGTGATGTTTTTTGCTGCAATATCTTGCACCCTATGTCCTTCCAGGGTGCTCCTTGCTCTCTCTTGGAGCCAGTCCCTGCTGCAGAGTTAGTTCCGTAAACTTATATCTTGTATCCTACATTTTATTTCAGTTTTTATACTTAAGTACACAAGTGAGATTGAGCTATCATTTAATTTTTTTGTTGGTGTCTTTAGGTTTTGTGATCAAAACCACATTTACCTCATGAAAATCAATTGAGTTGCACGCTGTTCTCTCTGTACTGGAATAGTTTTGGTAATAACAAAGGAGCAAATTGTTTTTCGGAGATTGAAGAAAACACTTCAGTGACTTTGGTATCATTTTGAAGGGAGGCATAAACTTTTTCTAGCTGTTTCTATTTCTGTGATTAGTTTATTGGAGCATTTGTATTCTCTATTTTTCTAGGACTCATTTTATTATTTAATGCGTTAGCAGCTATCCCTAGAGTATTGAGAATAATTATTAATATATAGTTTAGAATATTATCATCCCTACTTTAAAATAGTTGTTTCTATTCATTGCTGATATTTTCTCTCTCTGTATTTTATTATTTTTGATAAATTTGCCAATTTTCCCTTTTTTTGTATTTATCTCACTGTATCTTACCATGTTTGATAAATTTGCCAATTCTTTTTTTTAAATTGAAACATGTCCTCAACTTTGTTAATTTTTTAAGAGTCAACTATTAATTTGATTTACCAGCTCACCTTTTTTTTTTCTTTTCGGTGACAGAGTCTCTCACTCTGCTGCCCAGGCTGAAGTGCAGTGAAGTGATCTCTGCTCACTGCAATCTCTGCCTCCCAGGTTTGAGGGATTCTCCTGTCTCGGCCTCCTGAGTAGCTGGGGCTCCAGGAGCATACCACCAGGCTGGGCTAATTTTAGTAGAAATAGAGTTTCACCATATTGGCCAGGCTGGTCTTGAACTCCTGGCCTCAAGTGATCCACCCACTTTGGCCTCCCAAAGTGCTGGGATTACAGGCATGAGTCAGTGCACTAGGTCTCAACTCAGCTTTTTAAGCATTTTGTTCATTTATGTTGTTAGTTTTATTATTTTCATTTTACTCTTTTCTTTGGCTTTTCATTTTAGCCTCTTAACAGAGAAAGGCTTTGTTTTTATGTTTTTTTTTTTAATCTTTCTTACTAATTTAGAAAAAAGAGTGTTCTTCTGAACACTGCTATGAGAATACTCCATCAATTTTAATACAGAAATATCATTTCAAAGTATTCTGTAGTATAGGGATTTTTTTTTCTTTTTTCTTTTCTTTTTTGATTCATTCAAACATTTATTGAGCAGCCAAGGATATCCAAAGGAGATTAAAACATGGTCAGAGAGGTGAGGCAAATACACAAGTAACAGAAGGCAAAGGGCAAGGCTCACAGCATCACAGCCATCACAAGAAAGTGCTTTAGGACATAAGGGTGAGTTTGTTTCCAGCCTGGAAGGAGCATGGCTGGCACATCAGGAAAGGGGATTCAGATAAAAACAAGACTTCAGTCTGGATGGCTGATGATACTCGGCATGGACTCTGTTTGTCTCTTTTCTCTCTCCCCGTCTTTGGACTTAATTTTGCAGTACTGCCCAGGACTGTTCGATGTGCTTTTTCTATACTTGCTTGCATTTTTGCTTTCATGTCTTCTATGGAACTAGATCCTTTGGTATTTTTAGGAGGTTTTTTCCCGTTTTTTGAAGTATTTATGACCTTTCAATCTTGGTCTTGATAGTTTTGAGTCTTTTCCATTCTGGTTTGATTTGGTGCATTTTTGGTTGGAGTATCTTGCATAGATTTCTTCACTGGAGATTGTTCTTCAATTTCCTCATCATCAAAATTGTCATCATTGTCTTCATCAGCAGCAAGTTTTACTTTTTTCTGCAGAAACTTGCTACTACCTCCAGTGGAGGACTGCCTTCCAGATATATTAAATACTGAAGAGTTTCACATTCTCCTCCGCATCTTTTGACTCTGCCTCTTCCTCCATACCCACTAATATGCACTGGTCTTGATCCACACTTCAACTGTAATCCCATGCTGATGTTATTTCAAAGCCCCCAAGGGAAACCGTTGGCTGTACTGACATTTTCAAAGTTCCCAGTGTTACTTCAATAGGACAGCCTTCGTAATTCATGGCCTCTTCTTCAATAATGTGCAATTCATCTTTTACACAGCCCCTAAACTGACCATTCTTAAAGGCAACTGGCGCTTATTTTCATCATTATCTACCCTAAAGCAATCACCTTTGTCGGCCTTTAGTTCACAACCAAAAGGTAGTTCTGGGGCCACAGGGGGCTTGTGTCCAAGTCCATTGAATCTTCCATGGAGTGGCGGCACGCACTTAGGTGGCAGAAAAGGCAGATGGATATAAACAACTACTGCTCCAAAGAACAGCTGCGCAGGACGGACGGAATCACGCCAGGCACAGAATTATTTTCTTGATGTAGGAAGTATTTAACATTTTTGTTTGTACATGCATTTAAAAGCTCTAGTTCACCGAGATACGATGTATATACAATAAAATTTACCTCTTCTAACCAAAGAGTTTAATGAGGTCTTACAAATGTGTAAAATTGTGTGGTGACCACCAAAGCCAAGATATAGAACATTTCTGTCTTTTCATGAAGCTCCCCACGCCCCTTGGCAGTCAATTCTCTCTCCTACTCCTGGTTCTGGGCATCACTGATCTGTTTTCAGTCACTATAGTTTTGCCGTTTATGGAATGTTGTATAAACGCAATTGCACAGTATGTAGTCATTCGTGTCTGACTTCTTTTGCTCAAAATCAGATTTTTTAGGTTCGTCCATGTGTTGCATGTATCACAGACTGCTTTTTTTTTTGGCCGAGTCTTGCTCTGTCACCAGGCAGGAGTGTGGTAGCGTGATCTCAGCTCACTGCAACCTCCACCTCCTGGGTTCAAGCAATTCTCCTGCCTCAGCCTCCCAAGTAGCTGGGACTACAGGTGCGTACCATGACACCAGCTAATTTTTGTATTTTTAGTACAGAGGGGGTTTCACCATGTTGGCCAGGATGGTATCCATCTCTTGACCTCGTGATCCGCACGCCTTGGCCTCCCAAAGTGCTGGGATTACAGGTGTGAGCCACCGTGCCCAGTCTCTCTCTTTTTTTAATTGTTGTGTAGTGTGCCATTGTGTGGATGCACCACAGTTTGCTTATCCATTCACCAGTTAGTGAACATTTGGGTTGTTTTCAGTTTTTGGCTATTATAAATAAAGCTGATATAAATCGGATTGCACTTTTAGTTTTTAATTATATTGTTTTAATATTGTGAAATATTAGACTTTCCAACTTCTTTTTGTCTACCTTCATCCGGAATATGATACATTTTTTATGTATCCTTATATTCTTAAAAAGGAAGTATATTCTACCTTTTGCGTCTCTCCATTGTCTGATTCTCTTGATCAACTCTGCAATGTCTTCTATTATTTTATTTTTTATCCGTGATTAGCTTTCTGATTATTTTGTATTGAAAGGCAACACACTACTGTGGTTAAGAGAATGGGCTATGGAGTCTCAGTCATAGCTTCACCTATTACTAGTGGAGTTTTCTTGGCAAAGTCACTTAATTTTTTAAAGTCTTAGTTTCCTATCTGTGAAATGGGGAGAATGATATAACAATACCTACCCCACGGAGTTTGAGGATTAAATGAGATGATGTATGTAAAGTGCTCAGAATGGTACCAGGCAGATAGAAAAATCTCAAAAACTGATATATTTGGCTTTTTTTATATTGGAGTAGTTAGGTCTGTAATTTCGATCTATTTCTTCCTGTTTTTCTTGAATTTCAGGTGTTCATTTAATTGTATGTGTTAATCTGCTGTTTTGGACATATAATTCAGAATTGTTGAATTTTTGTTCTTTAATTTACAGTTTACTATGCTTCTTTAATGATGATTTCATGTCTCAATGTTTTTTTTTTTTCCTTTTTTTTTAGACTGTGTCTCTCTATGTTGCCCAGGCTGGAGTGCAATGGCACAATCATTGCTCCCGGCAGCCTCCAGCTCCTGGGCTCAAGCAGTCCTCCTGCCTCAGCCCCCCAAGTAGCTGGGATTATAGGCATGCACTACCACATCTCATTAATTAATTTTTTTTTGTAGATATGGGGTCTCCCTGTGTTGCCCGGACTGGTCTTGAACTTCTGGGCTCAAGTACTCCTCCCACCTCAGCCTCCCAAAGTGCTGGGATCACAGGCATAAGCCACCACGCCCGGCATCTCAATACTTTCCACCATGATACTGGTGTTAACTATTAGGTACTTCTTAGGATGATGCTTATTATTTTTACGGTTGTTAACAATATGCATTTATAACTCTACTTTTATAATGTTCTCACAGTTTTGGGGCCCCTTAAGTCAAATGCCTACACGGGCCACTCAGACAGTACCGACATGAATAGCAGGCTGAGGGTAAGGTAAGTCAGTATCTGGCTGATGGCCCTGATTCCCAGGGCAGCTCCTGACTCACTGCATTGCCTTTAGGCATCATGCCTGTTGTCCACAGGCTGGCTGCATCTGCCACAGATTTTCCCCTACATTTTGTCTGTAAATTAAAAAAAATTGTACTTTGGTTGTGTCTGTTTTCGCCAGCCAATTGTTGAATTTATTATTTCATATGGCCCGAATTTTATGTGGGAGTATGATTGTTTATTGTTATAATTAACCAATATGTGGTATCTACTAACTGTCACCAAATTTAGCTTAACTGTTGTTAGTGTTTAGTTTTACTTCTACTTTATGTGTTTTCTGTAGTGTATTTTCTTTAAAATTGTTAATATACCCTTAATATTTTTAAATTGTGCTTATAATACAAGAATATGTTATGATTGTAAGAGATTCAGTACAGAAACTGTGCAGAACCTAGAGCATGAATTGTGAAAGCACTTCCTTCATTTCCTGTCCTCCCTCCCTTCTCACTTCCTTCCGAAGGGAAAAAAAAATCAGTCAACAGTCTGGAGTGTATTTCTGCTTCTCTCTTCTATATGTTCCAAGTACATTTGTGTATATGTATATATACACAATATATAGAGAGAAGATATAGTTCTATCTACATATATATATGTAGATAGAACTACATATATAGATAGAACTATATCTACATATATATATATATAAGTATTTTTAACAAATGATATATTCCATGTACTGTTGTATGGCATACTTTAAAAAATGCCTAAAATTATGTCTTATGTTGTATAAAAATCATCCTCTGTAGAAGACGTGCAGTATTTCACAATATAAACGTTCCAAAACTTGTTTTGCTTGTATGGGAATTTACATGGTTCCTAATTTTCTGGTATCACAAATGGTGCAATAGCCAGCATTGTGTATGCCTGTTTATATAGGAAGAACAGGTGCTTGTAAGTGGGAATGCTTAGTCACAAGGCATGCACATTTAAGCCCACTGATAAATACTGCCAGATTACTCTTCCTTTGGGGTAGCCACCAACAGTATGTGAGAGTATATATTTCTCACACACTCCTAAAACATTAATATTTTTGATCTTTATGATGTTGCCAATCTCATATGGGTAAAAAAATGATAAACTAAATGCTTTAGTTTGCCTTAGTCTTCCCCTAAATATTAGCAGTTTGATCATTTTACATGTTTGATGATTATTGTGGGGCTTACATTACATATTTTTTCTTTAAACATTTTCAAGTATGATTTACAATAGGACAGAGCATAGATTATAAGTGTGTAAATGTATACATTTTTACAACTGAACACACCCCTGCAACCATCATCCAGATGAAGAAACTAAATATTACCAGCATCCAGCTTGTGTACCATCCCAGCCAGCATCCCTTTCATGCATCACTTTTTTGTATTTTATATAAATAAAATTATACAATATGTATGCCACAGTGTCTTGCTTCTTTTTCTTAACATTATGTGGAGATATTCCTCCATACCATTTCATGTAGTTGTAGGCAATTTCTGCTCATTGCTGTCTAGATTCTACTGTGCAAATATATCACAATTTCCTTATTTATTCCTTTTCTTTCTTGTAGAGAGGGGGAGTCTCACTATGTTGCCCAGGCTGGTCTTGAATTCCTGGCCTCAAGTGATCCTTTCACCTTGGCCTCCTAAAGCACTGGGATTACAGGCGTGAACCACCACACCCAGCCATTTCCTTATCTATTCTAGTTTTGACGGACATTTGTGTTGTGTCTAGGTTTTGGCTATTAGGACTACTGCTGCTGTAAACCACAAGGTATAGGTTTTTGGGTAAAGTGAATTTTTGTTTCTTTGTGTACTTTGGAGTGAGATTACTAGCTCATTTGTTAAGTGTGCATTTAACTTCATAAGGAACTGTCAAACTGTTTTCCAAAGTATCTTTACTATTTTTGGTCTTCACTGTATAGGTTCCTGTTGCATTACATCTGCTAAACGTTGGTGGTGTATTTTTTATTTTGTCCCTCTAATAACTGTTCAGTAGCATCTTATTGTGATTTTAATATGTGTTTCTCTAATGTTGAACGACATAGAATATCTTTCATGTGTCTGTTTTCCAGCTGCATATCCTCTTTGGTGAAATATTTGTTAAATAATATGTTCATTTAAAAAATAGGGTTTTATTTCTTACTATTGATTTTTAAGAGTTCTTTATATATTCTAGATACAAATTGTCAGATACATTATTTGCAAATACTTTTCCAAGTCTGAGACTTGTCTCTTCCTTGCCCTATTAACATTGTTTGAAGTTTCTTTGGCCCATAAGCGTTTTAAATTTTTATGTACACAAATTTGTCAGTCTGTTTCTTATGGCTTCTGTTGTTAGTGTATCACTTCTGAAGGCTTCCTAAGGTTATATACACCTACGTTTCTATTTACTACTGTGTAAAAAACAACAGTAAAACCTGCTATCACACACATTAAATTACACATTGATCCTATTGAATATCTGTTTCCATCTCTCAAACAATTAAAAATCTCTTCATGTGCCTGTCTTTACTTTCTTTCCTCTGATGCTCTCCTCATTACTCCTCATGTGGTCAGGGATTCCAGAGAGCTATTATTCTGCGTCATCTTTTAGTTTCATTTTTTATTCTTGTTTTGTTTTCCTCCAAGCATGCTGTCTGTACATCTGTTTCAGAAAGGGCTCGTGAATCACAGACTTCCTGAATCTTTGACTATGGAAAATATTTATTTTTCTCTCGTTCTTGAAAGACTAGGTAATAAGTTTAAAATAATTTCAAGATATTGTTTTCTTGTCTTCCTGCTAATAATATTAGGAGTGAGAAATATAATACCATCTGATTGACATGTGTTTATTTATTTGCTTATCTATCGATATGTTTATTCATTTTCTTTGGAAGTTTTAGGATTTTGTTTTTAATCCTTGGTTTTCTGAAGTGTCATCTCAGTGTTCTAGATGCTGGTCTTTTTTTTTTTTCATCTTTCTTGACATTTCACCTGCTCTTTCAATTTGAAAACATGTATTTTGAAAACATTTTTCTATTATTTATTGGAGTTATTCCTCATTCTAATTCAATCTTTTTTTCCCAATCTGCAACCCCTATTAGATAGATACAAATTATGTTGCTTCTGAAATTCCCAGTTGTTTAACTTTTGTTTATAAAATTAGAATTAGGTTTATGTTTTTATTTTGTAATTGACAAATAGAAATTGTATACATTTATGGTATACAACATAATGTTTGGATACATATATACATTGGGAAATGATTAAATCAAGCTAATTAACGTTTTCATCACTTCATATACTTATTTTTTTGTGGTGAGAACATTTAAAATCTACCCTCTTGGCAGTTTTTGAGTATATAATACAGGATTATCATCTATAGTCACCATACTACGCAATGGAACTCCAGAACGTATTCCTCTTGTCTGACTAAAACGTTTTACCATTTGACCAACATCTCTCCATCCTGTCCCCACTGTCCCTATCTGCCACCCTCTGGTAGTCTCCATTCTGCATTCTGCCTCTGTGAGTTCAACTTTTTTAGATGGAATCTACATTTCCTAGGCCCATAAAATCTGTAGGTAAGAAGGCTGTAGGAGATTATCATAGATATCCTAACAAATGAGTTAGGCTAATGGAACAAATAAAAAGAAAGTTGTTTTTTGTTTTGCAATTGTCTGGCCAGTGTAGACAGCATTAAGGAATTTTACAATCTTATGGCTTTAATGTTTGTTAATTCATATAACTGCTTATATTATTTTCTTTACTAAATTTAATTTTTATTAAAAATGACTCTGAAAACCTTTTTTTTTTAAATTGAAGTAGAGTTGAAGTGGAAGTCTAACCAGGTTCTGTTGCAAGTCTCAATGTTATATTTCTAATTTTTTACTCAGTTATACAACTTTATGTGCAGTTGGAATTTCTGAAAGCCTTTCCATGAATTTAATCTCTTCTGATTCCATGGTCTACATCATCAAAATGCAATCCCTCAGCCATTCTCCAATATTTGAAGAGTAAGGAATTGATTGAGTTTAAGCACTGAATACTGGTATAGCTTAGAAGAATTTACTGTGTTTATTAGGTCTTGACAAACTGTCTTTAGTATACCCTGATCCATGTAATCCTCCTCCGTCAACATGCTGAGAACCTTAGTTTTCTGGAAAGGATCATAATAATAGACAAAATTTATTGAGTACTTACAACATGCCTGATACAGTATTAATAACCTTATATATTAATCCATTGTCTCAATAGTCTTTTTTTTTTTTTGAGACAGAGTCTCAATCTGTCACCCAGGCTGGAGTGCAGTGGTGCTGTCTCGGCTCACTGCAACCTCTGCCTCCAGGTTCAAGTGATTCTCCTGCCTCAGCCTCCTGAGTAACTGGGATTACAGGTGCCTGCCACCATACCCAGCTAACTTTTGTATTTTTAGTAGAGACAGGGTTTTGCCATGTTGGCCAAGTTGGTCTCGAACTCCTGACCTCAGGTGATCCACCCACTTCAGCCTCCCGAAGTGCTGGGATTACAGGAATGAGCCACCATGCCCGGCCTCAATAATCTTTAGGATGTTACTATTATTATTATTCCCACTTTATAGATGAGAAAAGTGAGGACCTTGCATAGGGTCTCATGTCAATTAGTAGCAATCAGGAATCAAATCCAGATAGTGTTAAACATTGTGTTGTCCTGACAGGCATTGATAATACAGCAGGAACTAGACACTCTTTGAAATGGATACATGCCCTCAACATTTGCATAAATACATGGAGCTTCTTTATAATCCCCGGGGCTGCTTGCAGTTCATTCTATGTAGTCTTTGGAAGCCCTTCAAAGTAATGACTTTTTTTTTGAGACAGGGTCTCACTCTGTTGTCCACGCTGAAGTGTAGTGGTGCCACCACAGCTCATGGCAGCATTGATCTCCCTGGTTCAAGTGACCCTCCTGCCTCAGCCTGATGGTTGCCCTGGCTGGACTCGAACTCCTGGGCTTGTGTAGTCTTCCTGCCTTGGCCTTCCAAGGTGTTGGGATTACAGGTGTGAGCCACCACACCAGCCCTAATAATGACTTTATAATTTGGCTTCATCTCACACATATTCCCACTGCTCCCTGAAGTACTCTCTTACTGTTTTGTTGGGAATCTTACTCTGATCTTCAAGATATAAATGCTCTTGGCTCTAGTGAATTCATTACAGATGATATGATAACCTGGCTGGCTTTTAAGCCATATATGGATGAATTTTGAATTAGATGCTCTCTCAAGGGGATTCTTCTTCCAGAATCCACAGTCTCAGCTCTGCCTGCATGCACTCATAGCCCCGAATCCCTGCAGCGGCTGGTGTGCATTTGCCATGCTTGCTGATCCTACATACATACTTCGTAGAAAACACTTACATTACAATTGCTCCTTTAGCTTCTGTGGCTTAAAGTAGTTTTCTATTCTGGTGCATCCTCCTAGATTACTACATATGTTGAATTTAGCTCAGCAAAAGGGCTCATTGGAAGAGTTTTTGTTGGGACTCTAATTTGTTTATTAAAGATGGAATGGAAGACCTCTTGGCACATGTCCCATGAAGCTGACTGGCCGGCAGCAGCTGTGTTGAGCAAAAAGTCCATTCCGGTTCTGGAGTGGAGTCTGGATCCAATTGCTTTTCAGGAGCTCTGGGAAGGGGTAGGCCCCAATTCATTACTGTCACCAGGAAAGAAGCAGGCAAGCTGCTTACTTTGGACTGTTCTTTAGGAATACTCAACGCGAGACTTTTATTAATATAAAGCTTCCCTGTGTTTCCTCTTCTCTCTGGTCACTGAATCTGCTGACGATGAAATGACAGGACCCTGACATTCTAAAACGTACTAACACAGGGCCGAAGCACACTCTAGAATGAGAGACAGACTGTGCTGCTAAATAGGCACATACGGATCAGAAGTAGAAAGGGCGGCCAATGGAGCAGCAAGCCGAGGCTGATGGTGATGGGTCACAGGTGTTTCCTTTTCTCATCTCTTCCTCCGAAGGGCTCACCTCTCGTGCAGGCCATTGTGCTGGCCTCCAGCTGGGTCCCCAGCCTCCAGCCTTTCTCCCTTGGATCTGTCCTCTCTGCTCAGGGTCTCTTATCTCTGTACTGGTCCCTTCTGCCTAGTCTACTCCCCATTTTGTGTTGCTCCCCACCGCCAAGCTCTTTAGTCTTCTTCTGTAAACGGGGGAGGGCTCTTTGATGGTGAGGACTGGGTAGTTGCTCTGTGAAATGTGTGGAAGAAATGAATAAATGAATGAGAAGAGAAGGGGATGATTTTTCTGAGCAACACCCCCTGTCAGTGGTTCTTGGTCTGGGGCCACATCTGAGCTACCTGTACATGTTTTCAATAATACCCGAATCAGGATCCCCCGCCCCCCAGACCAATTGATTCAGGAATAGCGTGAGGTGAGGACAGCTGTGGGCTTGAAACACTTCAGCTGATTCGAATGCGCATCTTGGCTGGGAACAGCTGCCCTGGATTGGTGGGGCTCAAACTTGATTGCACATTGGACTCATCTGGAAAGTGTGTCAAAACAGTTTGTTATTATTATTTTTAATTGGCACCCAGAGTTTCTGATTCAGTAGGCCTAGGGGAGGGCCCAGGAATTTACAATTCTGACCAGTTCTCCTGTGATTACTGATGTTGTGAGTCTGGGGCCCACATTTTAAGAACCAACACCCAAGATTTCTCAACAGCTATAATGCTTTGTGTTAATAGTACTCAGTCTTTAGCTATATATTAAATTATTTTAATCACGGGAGCTTTCACAACATATACTGTTGCCAGGGTCTCACTGTAGCTAATTATTACCGAACGATGTGGGAGGAGCCTTGGGCATCATTTGTTTGTTAAATTTCCCCAGGTGATTCTCAAGCACAGTGAGGTCTACAAAATGCTGCTCTAGGCCGGGCGCGGTGGCGCACGCTTGTAATCCCAGCACTTTGGAGGCCGAGACAGGCGGATCACAATGTCAAGAGATTGAGACCATCTTGGCCAACATGGTGAAACTCTGTCTCTACTAAGAATATAAAAATTAGCCAGGCGTGGTGGCTTGTGCCTGTAGTCCCAGCTACTCGGAGGCTGAAGCAGGAGAATCGCTTGAACCCGGGAGGCGAAGGTTGCGGTGAGTCGAGATTGTGCCATTGCACTCCAGTCTGGCATCAGAGCGAGACTTTGTCTCAAAAAGAAAAAAGAAATGCTGCTCTAGATCTTTGCTACTGAAAGCACGGTCCTGCGACCGGCAGCACTGGCACTATCATCATTTAGGAGCTTGTTAAAAACGTAGACTCTCAGGCCTTACCTTGGACCTACTGAATCTACATTTTAACAAGACATGTAGGCAAAGAAGTTTGATAAGCACTGCCCTAGGGAGCTACCGTTCGTCTACTATGCTTAAAGAATGATTCGTTTCTTGTCTTCAATATTAGAGTGCAAATTCCCCCAGAATAGGCTTCTTGATTAATTCATCGTCAAGTCCAGAGCACCTAACATGGTGCTTTTTTTTAAATGCAGGGATGCTCAATGAATATTTTTGAATGAATATTTTTTTCTGTGGGTGTTATCTCCAAGGTACATACGCACTTTTCTTCTTCCCATCATCTGCTATGCCTCCTGCTACCTTTCAGGTAACATAGACCTCACATTGTCATATCATTTTACCTCCTGGTAGGCTTTGAGTGTTTTCACCCTCTGAATCTTATGTTGAAATGTGATTCCCAGCATTGGAGGTGGGGCCCAGTGGGAGGTATTTGGGTCAGGAGGGACTCTCCCTCATGAATGGCCTGGTGCCAGCCTCATGGGAATGAGTGAGTTCTTGCTATTAGTTTACAATTTAAAGGAACCTAGCACCTCCTTCCCTCTCTCTTGCTCCCTCTCTTGCCGTGTGACATGCCTGCTCCCCCTTGCCTTCTACCATGAGTAAAAGCGTCCTGAAGCCTCACTAGAAGCCAACTATGCCAGGGCTAGGCAGAAATATGAGCCAATTAAACCTCTTTTCTTTATAGATGACTCAGCCTCAGGTACTCATTTATAGCAATGCAAAACAATCTAACACACCCCCAAACCTAACAGCATTAAAAAAAGTCTCATGGGTAGTAATCATTTTAGACTTGCTTGATATTTCAAGAAAAAGCAATCTGGACTCGTCAGGCTCCATTTTTCTAGAACATGTTGCTACCCAAAGGTTTGCTGTGTGGGCCAAGGCTTTGGTTTCATCTGCTCTCACATAATGGAAGTTAACATTCTTCTCAGAATTTCCATCACCATGGTTACTGGAGCTGAGTGGCTTCTCTTAGAATCTCAAAAACATTCCTCTAATTTTTTTCCTGCCAATGTGTAGAAATTAAAACAAAAATTAAACAGTGCCCAGCCACTGGGCACTTTCATTTGCCTCACTGTGGTAGAAATGTTTTGCCTTTAGAGCCATTTCAGTTCTCTTGAGAAATGGTCAAGTTGAACATCTTTGGGAATGAGTCAATCTCAGGAGGCTTCTAGAAGCAGAGTGTGGTCGGCAGAATGCCCCTCCAAGTCCCAATTAGTCCTAATTATTCTACATCTTAATCATCCCCCTCTTTCCAACATGCGAATATATTACCTTATCTGGCAAAAGGGTCTTTGCAGATTTGATTAAGGTTAAGGTCTTTGAGATGGGGAGCTTATCCTGGATTATCCCAGTCGGCCCCATGTAATCAAAGGAGTTCTTAAAAGCTGAGAATCTTTTCTGGCTACGGTGAACCAGAGAGAGGGCAGTGTGAGAAGAGCTTGACCTGCCAGGAATGGGGAAACGGGGTCAGGAGCTAAGAAATGAGCATCGTCTCTAGAAGCTAGAAGAGGCAAGGAGACAGATTCTGTCCTTGGGCTTCCACAGAGGCACCAGGCCGGCTGACACTTTGGTTGTAGCTTAATGAGATCTGTGTTGGACTTTTGACCTACAGAACTTTCAGACAACAAATTTGTGTTGTTTAAGCCACCAAGTTTGTGGTGATTTGTTACAGCAGAAATAGAAAACTATTGCAGAGTGCAAGGTACCTTTTTGCTTCTAGGTATGTTTGGAGGTAAAGACCAGGTTATAACCATCCTGTGAAGAGTCTGTTTTGTTACATTCTTTTGCCTCACATAGATCTTTTCAGTTATCAGAAAATGATTTTGAATTTTGGCATACATTTTGTTTCTAAAATTTCCTTCCTTCCTCTCTCTTGATGTGAAGTAAACATCAGAGGATCCAGTGTAGGGATGGAAGGGTAATGAATATGGCAAGTAGTGTTGGGATTTGAAGTACAGATGTGGTCTCCTGCCCCGAAATACCTACTCTCACCCCACGTTTGAAATTTCATTGTTACAGACCCATGGCTTACATCTTCAGTTTCCTTCTATTCCAGGCACTTCTACCTCCAGAGAGGTAACTGCTATAAGCCCCGTAGGAGAATTTGGTTACCTTACCACTCCATGTGGGACAGATACAAGATAGATTATATGGGAAAGGTGAAGGGAGGAGCAAACTTCCTGCCATCGTAATTTTTTTTCTTTGTTTGAGATGGAGTGTTGCAGCCTCTGCCTTCCGGGTTCAAGTGATTCTTCTGTCTTAGCCTCCCGAGTAGCTGGGATCACACACACATGCCACCATGCCAGGCTAATTTTTCTGTTTTTAGTAGAGACGGGGTTTTACCATATTGGTCAGGCTGGTCTTGAACTCCTGACTTCAGGTGATCCACCCTCGACCTCCCAAAGTGCTGGGATTACAGGCATGAACTACCGTGCCTGGCTGCCATTATAATTTTGTCAATGACTATTTATCTAAGATAGTTAAGGAAAGTTAAATAAGACACTAAAGGAAAATTTTCGTGTGTGTTTATTTAGTGCCTATTTAGTGCCAGGTGTTTTATTTAGGCTACTGCATCTAGCCTTTCAACACTCCTGTAGAATGTCAGGTGAGGGGTTTTCTTTTACCCTACTTACAAGGTAGTAAATTAACCCATTAATGTTTAAAATGTATTTTCCAGTGAGTATTAGTCTGTTATTTTTGATGCTAGCTGAAGACCTGAGATTCCTAGGTCAGAGACAAAGAACTTTATTACTCATCATCACAGCAAAGAGCATCAGCATCAGCTCGCTTTGCTCCTAAAACTCAGAGGGCAAGCCGACACAGGTCCAGAGGCATACTATACCCACAGTGCGTTTGTGTTATAGCCAGGGAACACTGAGCTCGGAGAATCTACTACTTTTATAGCAAGTAGTAAGTAGTTGTGTTCTTGTTCTAGAGCAGGAGACATTACTTTGTCCTCAGGTTGCTCGCTGCAGGCACGATCCTGACAAATAGCTTGGATAAGTGAACACAGGGCCTTGCATTCTTGGCATACCTTACGCATTGCATATGGTTTTGAGAGACCCATAGAGAGAACTGTCTCTCCCAACACAAAATAGGTACTATGATTCCTATTTCACAAACAGGAAAGTTGAGGTAGGAGAAAGTTAAACAGCTAAGGTAAGGAAACAAGGGATAGTGAGACCAGGATTCCAATCCACATCTGTATTCTGAAGCCCATGATCTTTTTACCGTATGTTGCTGTCATCTGAAGGGCTCTTGGAAAAATAATTATGCCACGTTGGTCTTTTATTATGAATCACAAGATAACAAATGCAAACTTAATATTAAAAAATGTCCAGAAGGTGCTGAGATATCTGATGGGTATGCAAGGATATGTATTCATCCATTCATTTACATATATTACTAAAAACTACCTATGTATCTGCCTCTGCGGTAGGAATGGTTGGAAAACACAGAGAGAAAAAAGTAGGAAATAAAGAATATGCTCATATGTGGACTGTGTCAGGGCCACTTAACACAACAGCGTTCTAAATTTCCAGACTCAAAGCTTGAGACTCTGTAGAACGTTGACATTCAGAAAAGTTGCCTTTTCTGAACTCCTAATCACTTTAAATTGAAAGTCACTTCAATCTCTTTTCTGCAGCTTCTCTAGATCTTTGGTTTCACTGAAGTATAATTTGGGCAGCTTCTGTGGGAATTTATCACTGTATTAAGGAAGAAGATACATTTTGATTCTAGAAAACTCAATGTCTTTTTTAAAGGTCCAAATTTAAAAAGGTACTTGGAATAAATTTTAATGTGACTCACTGGAAAAATTCAATTTGAACTCTCTGCTCATACAAAAGGATAAACTCGTTAAGTTCTCAAACGTCTCCAAGGAAGCTGGTGATAATTGAGGGCTAAATTGTGGTACTTCTGTGTTTCTGATAAAAGGTGAGAATGAAAAAAAATGTGACCCTTGTGACATTACTCATCTAAACACATTACTTATCAAAAACAATTATGGCTGTGGGCTTTGTAGCAGAGAATTGTCAGCTTCCAGAAAGCCTATGGAAAACATCATTTAAGTGTAACGCCCTTTCTTCCCCCCATTCCTGTCTCTACTGTTGATCTAATTTTGAGATTTTTTATTCCTTATGGATGAACTCCTAGAGATCTTTGTCTGGAACTAGGTCTACATTGAAAGTTGAAACCATGATTAATATGCCTGTGTATTATTCATATAAACATGTCCAGAAGGATGTCTGTCTACTCAGATGTCAGCTGTGCCTATCCTGGGGTGGTGGAATCACAGGCAGTTCTTTTGCATTCTCAGCTGAGGGTGGGTTACTTCAGGTGGGCAAGAATTCTCTTCTTGTCCCTGGCTTTTCAGTTTTGCAGTTCACTTCACCCTGGGGTTTTGCCTCCTTTTTTTTCTTGCAAACAGCACATGGGTAGTTCTTCCTTAATGCAGGTGGGTGGGTGTTTGATGGTGAAAGAGAAAGGGGAAGGTGGGCATGTGAAAGCAACTGGGGCTGCCATGCTGGCGGGGCTGTTTTCCCGCAGGCCTCTTTGGGTATTTGTAGGAGTAGAGATTGCTGATTCCTTGGGCCTGCTGGGCCTTTCTTTCTGTTCATTCATTTCACAATTATTTACTGAGTGAGAGTATGTGCCAGATACTTCCGGGGGATATAGCAGTAAACAAAGCAAATATCCTCTTTCATGGAGTTTACATTATAGTAGATAATTAAAAGATAAAAACAACTGAAATATGAAATATACCAGGCCACGGTAAGTGATGAGAAGAGTAACAGACCAGGGCAGAGCGGATGGAGAGTGGAGGAAGATGAAGGTGAAGGGAGCTATTTTTTGTGGGTAAGGAGGAAAATTCTTCCTGATAAGGTCCTTTTTGAGTGGAGGCCTAATAGAAAGGAGGGAAGAGGCTCAGGGGCTGCTCTTTCAGGCAGAGGGAGCAGTACACAGAGTTTTGAAGTGCGAATGTCCTTGGGCTTTTCAAGCAACAGCAGGTAGTTCAGTATAGCCAGGGCAAAGTGAGTGAGCTGGGAGTATAGGGAAAGAGGATGGGGGTTAGCTGGGCCCCCGGTCCTGCACAGCCTTGCAGGCCACAGCGTGAGGGCCTGAAGATCTTAACTGGGTAAGCAGGAAGCAACAGGGAATATTGAGCGGAGAAGTGACTTGCTAGAATGTATTTTGGAAAAAGCATTGTTATCTTGTCTGTAATTTATTTAAAATATTTTATACTGGGCAGTGAGTTTTAACACTGAATGATCTTTTTTTTTTTATTAAGTGTTGAACAAATACATCAATATGTTATTGGGTATATTTAATAATTACATTCAATGTTTTACTGAAATAGGGAAGTGATGCTTTCCAGAAGAGAAAATAATCAAATAGAGATTTAGAAAGCCATTTGCTCATATCTCCATGATGGATACAAACCTTAGTCCCCATGCACAGATGTATGAGAAATGTAAATCTTTATCTTCCCATCAGTATACTCCCAGTGTGAGCTCCGTTATTCCAGGAGTTCCTACTTCTATCTGAGCTTCATGTAAGTCAGGGGTTAGGACGCAACAGAACAGTGTGATTCTCCAAGTGTGGTTCCCAGAGCAGCAACCTCAGCATCACCTAAGAACTTGTTCGAAATGCAGATTCTCACTCTCTAGCCCAGGCCAGCTAAATCAGGAGCTGTGTGACTGGGGCCCAGGAATCCGTGATAACAAGCTTGCCAGATAATTCTGATGCACGTTAAAATCTGGGAATAATTTCCTTATGGTGTCAAGTCATGGCTGAGGACAGCTCGTTCATAATGTCATCAGTAAACAGTCCACAATGGCGTCAGCCGAGACATAGTCTTCCCCTCATTCCTGACTGCAAGCTCTTTTATGTCAAATTTTCTCTCTCAGCTAATTTTT